ATCAATGAAATGTAAAAACACTGCTTTTTTCGAGCATTTTTTAAACTTTGAACACGAATTACAGCCAAACGGCTGAAACCACAGAAATATATCGATACTTGCTAGATTCCCCAAACATTCTGCTTTCATATGCATTTTTTGGATTAATTCTATATATTATAGTTTTCGAGTAAATCAATGAAATGTAAGAACACTGCTTTTTCAAGCATTTTTTCAAATTTGAACACGAATTACAGCCAAACGGATAAAACCACAGTAATATATCGATACTTGATAGATTCCCCAAACATTCAGCTTTAATATGCTTTAGCAGATATTTGGAAAATTGCTCACTGCTACTAATATTCGCGCCTCACAGTTTGGAAAACGCTGCCGTAGAGAGTAGTGTATATAGATTAGTTTCGTGGGAGAGAGGATAAGCAAGCAAATAAATGAAACAACAGCCTTTTCTTTTTGTTTGCAGCCTTGAATCGGAAATTAACGGAAGAGGAAAGGCCTTCCGTCTCTAATGAGCTGGAATCGAGTTTCAATGTAAACATCAATTAATTTTACCGTTCTCACTACGTAATTTATAATTCTGACCACCCCGCGATCGTTTTGTAATTCTCTGTTTAATTTGCGTGCTTCACGTCTTCTGTTTTTTCTTCTTTTGTTCACGACCACTCTTGCACTTTAATCGGGTGCTCCACTGCGGCGTTACGCAACTCGTGACGCAAACCTGCACACATTCGTGCATGCATAGCGTTGCAGTTGTGCAATGCCGTGCAGCTCTTTGCGAACGGTTGATAACCCAAATTCGATGGACGTTCGAGTCCATCCATCCATTCCCATTCCATTTGGGACTTCAATTCATCATCGTTGTCACCAATTATGTGTCACCTCACTAACACGGGCATTGATTTACGATTGTCTCATTACTTTTTCAATGCTACTTCGTTTTTGATTGATTGATGTCATTCATACCCTAACAACAATTCGATTGATTCCTTTTTTTCTTCTTAATCGTGATTCATTTGTTCTTCGAGTTAATTTTAACAATTTTATTAAACAATAATTAGTTTAATCTAATGTTATGGTGTTGTATTTTGTTGTGATTTTGATTCTTTTTTTCATGTATATAAAAACAATGCAATTAAATGTTACGTTTCAATGATTTAATGGCAAGAACTTGTTTCATCCAGAAATCTGTTAAGTGCTATTAATCGACGACAGCAATATTTGCTCTCTAGTTATTATCATCGAGACTGTTTTTATTTATTTTATTACTTAGTGCATCAAATTAACGAATAACCTTGGCACTTTTGTGAAGTAACCGTTTCGTACTCTCCGACACCTTCATGTGTTTTTTTCTTCTACTTCTTCTTCGCATTTGATTTGCTCAAATGCGCATGCAAACATAAAAATATAATAATTCTACATACTTTTTTTTTTAATTAATTAATTAATTTTCTTTTTCGTTTTGTGTGTTTGCAGTGCATGAAATCGTATGTAGAGTTCGAGGTGGCCGAAGGAGCGTACGATATTTCGTGTCCGGATGCCCAGTGTCCTTCCCAAGGAGTGCTCCAACAAGATGAGATTAAAAGACTGGCCGGCAACGAGCTTCTGGAGAAACACCTGAAATACAGACTTAACCGAGGTCAGCACTCTTTTTGATGTTTTGATGTTTTTCAAGCATAATGAAATCATCCAATTTAATAATTAGTTCAAATACATGGAGGTCGTGAGGATTTCTTGGAAAAGTACTTTACAAAAACTTTTTGTTTCGTTTTGCTGATGCGATCTTCATGGAAGACAATAGACGCTTCTAACTAATCTTGCTTCCGTTAGGCAGTGACTTTAATTGTGTTGTTCTTTTTGCAGAGGTTGAAATTGACAAGAGCCGGATGTGGTGTCCGCGCGCCGGCTGCGAAACCGTCTGCAATCTGTGCCCATCGAAACGGTGTCAGCCGCAGAGCGTGCATTGTCCGACGTGCACCGTGAATTTCTGCAGCAACTGTAAGCTGGAATGGCACGCCGGACTCACGTGCGAAGAGTACAACAAGCAACTGGCCAAGCAAGGACGAGTGAGTAGATTTTCGTTTCGTTTTTACCTCGAACCTAATTCGCGGTTTCGTAATTGGGCAACGCTTATGTGTGTGTGTATTATTTTTTAAGGGCGAAGAAGCTGGTATTCCTTTCGACTCCGACTTGATCAAATGCTGCCCCATGTGCAATGTTCCTATTGAAAAAGACGAAGGCTGTGCTCAAATGATGTGCAAACGGTGCAAACACGTTTTCTGCTGGTACTGTCTTGCCAGCCTCGATGTACGTATCAATTTCTTGCAATACATACATTTTTATTCTTTCTCTCAGTATTATTATGAAACTTGAAAATATACAATGTCGTAATGCTGGCTGAATTTCGGATTATAATAGTATTTGTTTTCTTTTTTAGGATGACTTCCTGCTAAGGCATTACGACAAAGGTCCTTGCAAGAACAAGCTGGGTCATTCGCGGGCGTCCGTGATCTGGCACAGGACCCAGGTGATCGGCATATTCGCCGGCTTCGGTATTCTGCTGCTCGTCGCATCGCCGCTCCTCCTGCTGGCCGCCCCCTGCATCGTGTGCTGCAAATGTCGCTTCTGCAACGCAGGCACCACCAAACTGGACAACGAAGAGGAACTGCCCGGCGAAGGTTCTTAATATACAGACCAGACACACAACCACCCAACCCACCTTTCCTGCTCCATCCTTTCGACTTACCGGACACACCCTTCTAGCGTAGCTGCTGCGGCTTCTTTCGTATTTAACAGAGAACGAGTAATAATCATCAATAAATAATCTAGTCTTCAATAGTGGCTACGTACACGTATAATATAAACATATAGATAATGTATAGGTACTATTGTACGTTGCAAAAAAACTTACGGATTCTTGTTTTGGTTTGGTGCGCGATTCGGTGGAGGAGGAAGAGAGAGAAGTGTGATGACGAGAAGTGATGAGTTTTGTGCATAGACGGAATCTGTGATAGAACTGTGATCGTTTCGCCGTCTGTGTCTTTACTCGAAACAACAGCAACAACAGAATACACATATATAGTATACTAGTTGAAATTCTCTTGTGATTTATCGAAAAAAAAAAAACATACGTTGTTCTTAAGTTAATGTTAAACAGATTATTTACTGCAGTTCTCTTCTTTTTTTTAACTAATCCATTCTGTTCGTGTCTATATCTTTTTTTTTTACTTATATTACATATAAACACATATATTTAGGTTTATTATTATTATTATTATTATTATTATTTCGGTGTGATAACACTTTGAGATGTAGTCGTAGTTTATGAGAAGTACTTAAAAATTTTAATATTTTCTTTTTTAATGAAATAATTATAGTACACGGAAATATATACACATGAACACACATACACACACACACAAAAATATTAATTAATTTTGACTGAAGGTAATTTTTGTTTTAATTTAATTTTTTTTTTTGTAGAAGGCCGAAAAGAAAGTTCTTGTATTTTCGTTTAGTTTTGATAAATTCTTTTGGTTTTCCCTTCTTCTAATCTCAACTAGTTAGTTATTTCGTTTTTATTTTATTTATTTAATTAATTACTGAAGTGCGTTAGGAAGTTGTATGATATTGTAAATTGATGATGAAACGGAAGGAGGAGGACTATGTTACTGGTATTTGTACAGAGACACGTTGTAAATGAAAATATATATTGTTACATTGTTTAAAAAATTTGGGTACTATGTACTTATATACAAAATATATTTAGTTCACATTATATAAACGCATTTTCGTATTCTTTTTCTATTCATAAATATGAACCTAAAACATCAGTTATTCATAACTTAGTTAATAGTAAATGAGATATCTAAATTAAGTAATTAAGCAAAAAAAAAGACTATATTTTGCTAATTAAAAATATTAAGCCCTCTTAATTTTTTTTTTTATGAGTAGGTTTAGATCTATATTTTAGCACCATCTTTCGGTCAACGCTCAAAGTCTATAGTTCAAGCATTTTGGCGCTGCTGTAACCTCTTTACTTTTTAATTTAGGCCTTAACACAATATACGTAATTACCAAAATGTGCCCTACAAATTTAGCTTTCTATTAATTACTCATAATACTTTGGTCATTTAATAATAAGGAAATTATGCATAAATGAAATCGATGTGAAAATACCATCTAGCGGTAAGAGCTGAACTACTCGAAATTTTTAGAATTTATAATTTTCTGATAGAAACTTTTTTAAAGTTTGATAGAGGAATAAAGAACATGAAGCAATTCCAAAAACAAGACAAATATTTAATAAGTTCGAATATTTATACAAAATCATTTCAACCAATTTCGTTTCAATCCGGCCGTGTGATCAAACAATGTAGGATTCTTGAATTCGCCTTTCATATCGAGAATGTAATGCAAATAATGGTTCTTAATTTTAAGTGGCAACTGTACAGGAGCAGCAGCCCTCATCTGTTTGCAGCTCACTTGATCCAAACCGACTGTCAATATCTTATTGTTTCCCATCGGAGTGTAAGTCACAAAAGAGATGTCCTTTCCTCCTTTTCGAAGCACCAAATATCTGACCGATCTCAGAGTGTACATCCATGTGATAACAAGAATGCCATAGCCTAGCAACAAAATGTAAATGTAGAAGTTATGTGATTCTTGTATAAGTGGTTTTACCTATGAAAAATGATAGAGCAGCTATTGTATTTTTATACTTGTTCTCGCCCAGATTGATCTTCCTCCACCAATCTGCATTTTCTTCAACTGGTACCGGTGCATCTTTCAAGTTCGTGTATGCAAATATGGACAAGTAGCCCCAAAACACGAACTGTGAAGCACCGAATAGATTGAGGACTTTGAAAAATCTGGGATTCTCGTATTTGAACAGTATCACATCCTTGGCCACATTCGTCTTCACATCCATATAAGACTTGCATTTCACCGGCTCGGTTTTGGTGAAACCCCTAGAAAATATCACAGGTCTACTCTTGAAAATGTTCACACACGAACTACTAATACTCCTTAATAAATAAGACATGTTTTAATTAACAACATTCACGACATCCTACAAAAATTACAACTTATTTTAGGTTATTCCAGTTATGTAATTTCGAAGCCTCCTTGCAATTAAGGTTGCGAGTCTTATCAAAACGTGTTTATTGTGTTGCCTAAAATTATTTATTGAACTAGTTTGTATATTGTAGAATCTCAGGATTGTCGCTCTTGTGATAAACCGAGCAATACACAATCTGCCTCGAGCAACGTTAAATCTTTATCGAATCCCAGAAATCTCGAGGACAGTTCCAAATCTTTAACCATAAGTCTGACTCTGGAACCTCTAACGAAATTGTCACCATTCTTCTTTGGTCTCGGACATACACAGTGGAACTTCCAACCAAAATCTATGTACAGATCATCTTCAACCACATGATAAACAGTTCCAGTTACTACTTTTCCCTCTGGGTCTCCCATCTTCAATGCAAGAAAACAACAACAACATTAGTATAATGCAGTATATTAAACAAACTGCAACTCACATCAATGAATTTGGAATTCCTCAGTAGACTGGAGAATGATTTAGGTGCTGCCTTCGGTTCCTCATTGATGTTTTCGAATTTTTCAAACGCCTTTGCATAACCTCCAACCTGCTCATTTTCCGTTTTGTTTGCATCCTGCGATCCTTCTGCGCTCGACAACAGTCTTACTGTTCCCAGCGAATAACGTCTCAACGGGTTTAATTTGGTCACACAATTCCTTATTACGGACATAGCTAATCTATGTTTACTTGTAGCTGTAGAACTCACCAACCTCACAATCAAACTTGAGTATGTAACCAAAGTTACACATTTCTCACCATGTCTTATCAGCGCTTCTAAACATTTCTGGTTAGATTTTTTTTTTAAACGTCCTTATCACAATCCAGTATATTATTTCTGTGTAATATAATAATAATAATATAAACAATATTGTGTTTTACGTGTTTGCGCTTAAAATTATTGAATTGTATAAATCTGTTTCTGAGCAGGAAACGAGTATCAGAAATTGTCTGCAACCGAGCAAATGCTATGTGCGTTTCGCATTTAATTCTAGTCAAGTGATTCATTTACATCTTTTACAAATAAAAGTAATTGTTTGGGCTGTAAACTTTCGAAAGTTTCGTGCAACATGTGTGCAGCGTTCACCGATGGTTTGTAAGTATCGACAACGTTGTCGATTGCATTTGTTTATAAACATGCATTTTACAAATTTACATTTAACATAAATTATTTGTTTCTATAGCAACGGAATCTTGAAGAAAAATGTGCTCTTTCATTACCAACGAAATAAAACAATAAGAAAATGATAATTATATCTTTAACATTAGATGCAAAAGATAATAGATATTCGTTGACAAATTTAGGATATTTCCCGAACTGTATACAACTGACATTATAATAGTATAAATAAAGCTACTGCATTTGAGGGCATTGTTCATTACGCTAATCAATGCACAATAGATGTAAGTAATTTTTATTTTTGTCTTAATAAAACTAATGCGATCGCACATTTATAACCAATGATACATTGCGTACGACCGGAAACAAGTTGATTAGTTATCGTGTTGTTGTTGTTAATAGCGAGCCTGGAAAACCGATATAATAATTGCATTGTACATTTCGTGCTTCTATTAGAAAGTTTAACAAACAGTTTGAAAAGTTCTCGGCGACATGTGTGCTGCGTTCGACAAACAACTGTAAGTATCGATCGACGTCAAGTCATCTAAGCTTATTGTCACTTAGCAACTGCATCGAATCGTATGTTTACAAACATATTGAAATTCCCATCGCATCTACATCATTATCATATTTCTCATTATTAGTAACGCATTCGAGATTGAATACAAGTTAGTAGTTTATTAAAAGTTACCTAAATTTATTTATTTGACAACTTCATATATGTCATGAAGACATTTGATACTCGGCTTTAAATGACACTCGACGTCAGATATTGAATGACAATTGATAAGAGAAATGCAATCCTTTCCAGAAAATTTGTAATCCTTCTCATTTCGTGATAAAATAATGCATATATTTTTCTTTTTACGAATGTACACATTAATAATATGCAATTCCATTTCGCGCTTGCAACAATTGAGTCATCCATTTAGTTTAATTGAAATGTTCGCTGCATCACCTCTAACAAGTCATCATCGCAATAGGCATTAGTTTACGATGTAGTTGTTATCACACAGGAAGACGGTAGCGTTTCTTTATTCGAATTACACAACGGATGCGCATTTTTTATTTAGTGTTTTCATGCAGTTCGCAGTTGTCGATATGTGTGCTTACTTCGTTGATGGAATGTACGTATCGTAAATATGTACGTTTTATAAATATCTAATTAAATTTAATAATTAAATTTAATAATTAATCATAACTATAAACTAATTTAGGTTTGGTTAGTCGGTGAATATCAACAAAAATTGAATTGTATTACGTACATAAAGATCAAAAATAGGGAAAATTCAAACGCACTATGTCAGTCTTTTATTTTTGTAGATGGCGCTTTCCCAAGTCTACGAAAGATATTTTTTTGTACATAAATAATCGTTTTAATTAAGTGCAGTTGATAATTAAGATAATAAGAGTAGTAAATTGCGTATCGTTTATAGTTTTCAAATAATCCTTTGCACATTAGTTCACTATTTCCGGTTTATCCGGAAGTCTAAAATTTGGCAGGTGTCAAAACTGTCATGGTTAAAAAAAAAAGATGTTGTGGTATTATTTAATATACATTAGGAACAAAGAGATTTTCGTATTGGCGCTTCGCTTGACCTGATCGTCCATTGGTCGATCCTTCACGCCCCCAAAGATATTGATGTTTTTGCAATTCTGCTGAAAATGCTTTAGACTTATTCATGAATGAGATGGTTAATTTTTGTTGCAGGTACAAATGTGGGATTGAATTTCTGGGATTGGACTACGTGAAGCGAATCTGCAGCTACCGTGGGGTTGGCGATGAGTTCGCCAGGCACGTGAGGAAGGTCCACGTCGACAGTTGGTTCACGTTGAACGATGGTCAGATCACGTTCCAATGGAAACTCCCGTACGTTGGAAACCGAATGAACATATGCGTCCTACATTCGGATAACAAGGACTACCTCTACAAAGTCCATTATCAGAAGGAATCGCAAAGTCTTCGTCACATCGTGGTTTGTTTGGATGACATCGAAGAGGAGCAGCAGCAGATCGACGAAGTCACGAATGTTAATGGAGGCAAACACATCGGGATCTGTCGAATAGTGAAGGCCTGCGATAAAAGCAGACATCTTCAGTGGAAGATTAATTTATCGCAAGAGTTGAGAATGAAATGATTATATGAATATTACGAAATATTATTATGTTGTTAAGTGAAAAAAAAAATTTGATATATTTATGATAATTAGGTTATGTTACAATTTATTTATTTCCTAGTAAAAACGATGCAACGATGATACACGTTTTTTTAAACAATAATTTTTATAATATTTATATAACAATGATTGTTTTGCTTGTTAAAAACAAATAATACGAAATGGTGACGGTTGGATGAAAAGATGGCGCTGCACATAAAGTTGCATAAAGTCTATACCGTGCACGCTCAATAATTGTATAAAGATAAGTTCTTTTATTAGTACAAGGTCATTGCAAAAAAAATATGACTTTAAGTGTTTAATTATTATGCGATCATCATTAATCATCGGAAGTATGGTTTTCTTCATTATCAACAGCAAAATAGAATATTGTATCAAGTTATGGGATTGCATCAGTTATTCCCAAACTTTGGTCTTCCAATGACTACTGACACATGTCAGAAACGATGACTGACGTTAATCGTTGATTCGTAAAGTTATTGAGAGGTGTCGTCGCGTTTTTGACGGTAGACATGCGCAATACCTTTCCGTCAACGCTTGCGCCATGGATGCTAGCGCCATCTGATCAAACCAGTAAAAACGCGCGGCATTAGGTAGTGAGCTTCTTGGGCCGTGTGTTTGTGTCTGCGTTCTTCCTGCGATTTTCCATCATATAACTACTTAATGTGCGAAACGCTGATATTACGAGTAATCCAATTTATTTGAGTCTACTACTACTACAGAATCATACAAGGTACGTTTCAATTATTTTAAGCGTATCCATATATAGAATGCAACAAAAAATTAGGTTCGCGCATGCGATCCTGATAAACGTTAATAACAATATTTTTATATCTAATTGATAAATTAACCTTTATAGGTTAAGTTATATTTTTTTTGATGTAACGGTTGTTCGTGTACACACAGGAAAAAAAAATCGGACGCGCATGCGCCTATCCTAATGACATTTCTACTGACAAATGTCATTCAACGTCAATATTTCAGAATTTTAATGCTTATTCAGCATAATTCGGTCAATTTATTTGCCAACAATGACATCAATCAAATATGATGGTTAGAATGACATTTTGTTTGTAACTATTTGTAAAATATTTTGGTTTTTAATGTTGTTAACAGTGTTCAGAGTAAGTAAATATAACAAATTCATGTTTTTTTCTTACGTTCATGTTTAAATATGCTAAATTGACACTCTTTTAAAAACCATTGAAAGTTACTTAATCCGATTAGCGTTTATCATGTAAGGTGTTTTCTTGGTTATAACTGCAACTGTCGCATTTTCTTAGATTACATTTTTTGTTTATTTAAAAAAAAAATATGTTTTTAATAGACTACAATATTAAAAAATTTCTACAATTGATAATTAATTCCGTTTATCCTACTGAAAAATATAAAATATTTCCTAAGTAATGAAAAAATTTTTTATGAAAAAATATCGTAAACTTTTCGAAGATAGTGCGTCAAACATATATTCAGGTTATATTAGTTCTTGCTTAAAATGGTTTCCAGTATTTAACACCTTATTCTGATAAGAGTAACATCCGAAGTGTAACATATCAAAAAAAGTGTTGCGTTAGCTTATTATTATCGTGTATTCGACCGTAACGTAGTAGTGCTCGTACAGATGGTTTTTTGTTTCTTCTTGTATATCAGTATGGGATCATGGTAGACACCTTGCATTGTTTTTACTCAATCGTTTGTTTCTTTTCTGTTATATATAGTTTATATACGAGAGAGCAATATTGATAAAAGATGGAAAGGACGAAGATAATTGAGAGTGGTGATTGCAATGCAAGCGAAAAAACTGGTTACGAGAATAAAGTGATAAAGAGAGATACGTTGATATTACCAATTAAGGAATATGTGAGAACGGATAGTGCAGACGTGATATTGAAAGCGACGACGGCATCGATCTGCGGCATCATGGAGGAACTGTTGAAGAGCAATAAGTTCGTGATAGTAGGTTTCGAGTTGATCACGATGTTCCTTGTGCAAACCTTCGATACGAGAGTCGAGCGAAAAGTGTTGATCGATACGCCCTTATGGTTGGTGGACAAAGACGTCGCCCAATGGTACAACAACTGTACGCGCAGCATTCTGGAGAACGTCAAGGATTACAAGGGAGGCGAATACTCTCAGGTATCCCAGATACACTTGAAAGTGTTCAACGAGATCAGCAAAACATCCTACCTTAATCTACCAACGGAGATCGAGGCGAAGGATGATGCCGTCTTGAACATACAGAACGTCAGGGATGAGGCCTGCTTCGCTTGGAGCATCATAGCGGGATTGTCACCGGCGTCGAATCTGTCGCGTTATCTAACAACCAGCTATCCTCATTACAAGGCCGTGCTGAAGATCCACGGTCTCCAGATGCCCATCAAAATTTCGGATATACCCCAGTTCGAGGTGCGGAACTACATGAGCATCAACGTTTTCGGCATCGATAGGAACGAAAAAATTCTGCAGCTCTACGTGACGAGAAAGAAAAGAAACGTCCACGTGAATCTACTACTTATCGAAGACAACAAGAAAACCAAATATCACTATTGCCTAATTAAACATTTCTCGCGACTGATGAACGAATCTCCGCTCGATGTGATTGAATGGTGTGACATGTGCATGACACCACAAGGTAGCAACGACCAACTCATGTCACATACGAAAAACAAATGTTCTGCACTATTCTCGGTCGACAATGGTAAGTTACTTTGGCATTAATAAGCGCTGCAACGAAAACTATCCTCGATAAACGTATCTAAAACATAAGAATTTTATACAATGCACATTCTCAATAACTAATGGTAGTAGCAAACTTGATGTCAAACTTATCAAGTATATCTACGAAAACGTTAATCATTTATTAGTGTTGCCTAGCGACAATGACATTTATTTTGTTATTTATTTTTAAGTAGTCGTGATTATATTTCGTAAAAGTTAGAGTTGTGTGCATCCTGTAGCAGAGATGATCTACATTGGTATGTGCGATTTTAAATATTACAAATTTAACCGAAAAGAAAATAGAGAAAACAGTTTCTTGCCGCTGATTGCTGATTGTCATATTTATTCCTTAATATTTTTGAACATACTCAGTATTGCCAATTGGAAAGTAAACAAAAAAATCAATGATCAAAACTGTCGTCATGGCACTCTCTGCTCAGACGTCGTATCCGACGATGTGCCGTTTCCCGATGCATTCGCCCACATAGAACCAGCAGAACACTTCCACGGTGACCAAAGTGTTAAGCCATGCCTCTCTAACTGGCGTCTCCTTCCACGATCCGCTCTTGAAGGATTTGATCCCCGCCGATACATCTTTCATTATCTTCGGAATATCTAACGGCGACGGCGGCACCAACTCCACCTTTGCGTATTTCAGGAAGAGCAGCAACTTCGGTTTTGCAACCACCCACAATTGATCCAGTTTCCCAGCGCTCATTGCACTAATAATTCAATCTAAAAACGACGACTTGCGATATAATAACACTTTTTGACAAGTTAACTTTTGTTTTTATGACGCGTCCCTTTTCATAACACGCCGACCTTGATACGCATTTAGTTATTATTATTATATTCATCATCAAAAATCATCAATTTTCAAGCGAAATAATTGATTTATTTTATACACAAAAGCAATCATTAGATTGTTTTTTACGTAAAGATTACTCGCGAAAGCGCCATCTCCTGTAGCAAGTGACAGTTGTTGGTGCCACGCCCGACAATCTAACGGCATTCCTGAACAATTGACCTGCTTTTATTCATCCTTTGGATATACCTAAGGCAACGAATTATTATACGTAAATTTTAAAAATGTCTGATCTAATGCCAATGCCAAAATTTGTTATTTTTGGTTTTGAACAGTCCAAAAGTCCAAAGCATCTGGTATGTAGGTAGATGTTTTTTCTTTCTCTTCTAATACCTAAACCTAGTGAGAGGAAACTATTTTTTTTTTTTGAAAGGGACACAAATTTGCGCTGCATGTACAATTTATCGATGTGTGCGCTGCGACACAAGCGAAGCAGACTTGTTTGCGCTTCGAAAATAGACTGTTCGTGGTGACCTTTGGATGTCCTTGAAGGATTGGACGATTTCATTCGTACGGATTCGGAGCGTTTGCATAGTTCATATTTCCAAAAAAACATCAAATGCCGTCACATTTAGAATTTTTTAATGAAAAAGAAACGAAAACCTAGGTTATTAGTATATTCTATAACATCCTCGAAGCATGAAATATTTCTACCATTTACAAAACGTATCATTTTTCTAGACTTTTATAGTTTACACATGACAGTACAGCATTTTTTGGTGGACGAAATGTACTTAGGTGCTTGAATTGTACCGACAAAAATGCACACGTCACATTGACATTACAGTAATTGACTAATGCCTATGGTCAGTATATTTTTTGTTTGTACTGAAAAATATTCGTGTTTAGAAAGTGCATCATTAGCAATAATTTAGAAGCGCAGTGTTGCTAGAGCGTTCAGCGCTCATGTGCCAAGTTTCCGATACGAAGGTATTACTTTGTGTGCTGCGGCTACTTGGGAAGGGAAGAAAGGAAAATACATGAAAATCCTGTTTGAGCACGTTGATCAAGACGGACAAATGGTACATCTCGCATGCGTCACCAAAATCGAAAAATTAGGATATTATTTTACTTAAAGTCCTTTTGTCGCGGCGTTATAATTTTTGCATTGATTACGTGATTATGTTATGAGGTCGTTGTCCTTGCGTTGCGCGACCTTGATATTTTCAGTGTAAATAATGCAAAAAACGGAGAAGAAAATTAGCGAAAATGACATTCCATTTCGATTACCAATATTGTTTCGTTATCAATTTTAATATTACTTTTGATCAATTTCATGGGATCGTTTAAAAATATTGCATCTATATTGACTAATATTTTCGTATCATATTGGTAATATATATGTTAATCAATTGCATTGCATTTGAATATTTTATAATTGACATTAGTAGTCTGTCATTAGTAATCAATATTTATATTATAATTACATAATACAAATAATTTATTAAGAAAGTAGCGTATGAAAAAAAAATAATAATTTAGCAGTCGCGGCCATCTTGTGATCGAATTCAAGTAGTCGTCTGAACGTGCACGAGAAACGTAGTTGCGCTGTTGCCGTCCACCTCTTGTGGTGTCCCCGTTATTTTACTCTCCACAGTTGCTCAGTTACACATTGGAACTTCCTTTAGAATTATCTCTTCCTTTGCGAAATCATTTTCCTAATGGCAAACACCATTAATTAACCTAAAAGCAGTGTTCGCCGGTAAGCATAACTACGTCACAAATAGGAAATGGAAATAAATTATATCAACCAATAACGGTTTCCCCACTATTTTTGACACTCCTAAGACTTCCTACTGTCATAATGACATTACGAAAATATTACAAAAATATTAAAAAGTTTTTTATTTTTAATAACACTTATTCATTTAATAATAATTATTCATTTAATGCAAAAAAAATTGATAACAAAATTTAACAATATCATCATAATGTCATATTAATTATTTTGTTGTTTTTTTTTCTTCTTCTATTGAATAGTGATTATCGATAACTATTTTCCGGTTTTTGTTCACTCTTCAGGCATAACCTCAAAAGTGTTCATGAACCCTGTTACGTCAACGTTCCGGCAAATTGTTGTTTTTTTTTTAAATATTATATAGAGGATCTTGTAAAGTAGATATTTTTAGAGATAATAATTGAAGGTTTATCCATTCTAGGTATCAAAATGCCGGTGGCCAATCCCGCTGCAGCGTTCGAAGATGATTCGGACGAAAATGTTAGTTTAGATTTGCACGTCTCTGATAACGACGAAGAAGGTATATACTATTCAGATGGTCAATTAATTGATGATCCCCTAATATCACGAAAATCAAAATTTCAGAAAAAATTAAAAACAATGACATAACAATGGAAAATGAGGACGAGATCTTAAATAAATTCGACGTTGCCGATGACGCCACGAAGCAGAAGTTGGACAAAGTCAATGGAACGATAGCGCGCAAAGATACAGAAACTGTGAATCAGATTGAACAAACGCTTAAAGATGCACTTAAATCTACGGATGTTATTGTATCGAATGGTGCCGAATGCAACGGCACAGAGTCGTCCAGTGTAAAAGAGGCTGTATCTGAATGCGTCAATAAGGAGGAAAAGAAATCTGACGATGTACAAGCAGTGAAGGAAAGTAGTAAAGATGAGGGAGAAAGTGAAGACTTTTTGTTAGTTCTGCAAGAAACTACATCTGATGCTGATGAAAATCACGACGAGGCATCAAACTCTGACGATGTTGAGGAGGATAGCGGTGAAAACAATGAAGCAGCTGAAGAAACTACTCATAACGAAGAGATGACGCAAACAGATGAAACCAAGGATGACCAAGCTGAGGAGGAAGATGCTATGGAAATTGAAGAACCACCCGATCACATCGACATCATCGAAGAAAACGTCAGGATGTCAGGGGAATCGGAGGCAGTTTCTGAGCGAAAAGAGAAAACGGACATGTTGATACTAGATGAAGCTGCGAAAAAAACTACTACTGATGACGATAATAAAGAAAACGAGAAAAACTCGACTGCTAAAGAGGGCGATGAACGAAAGAGCGTATTGGAATCAATTTTGACTACTTATTTAGTTAAAGGTACGTGCAATTCATATGATTTATATAATTTTAAACTATTTATGTATTGTAAACAGGTCGAAAGGAAACGACAACGAAGCCAAGCAAACGATTATTGGAAGAAGGCGAACAGGACACTTCTAAACGCGCGAAACTGGACACGGAAGCAAAGAGCATAGTGAAATTGACGAATTTCAAACGGTTTATGTTGGATAAAAAGATGACCGGTCTAACAAGGGATCAGTTGGAAGAGCTTTGCATACAGAAAATGTGCGAGTGCATTGTACAACGTAGCGAAATTGGAGAACTGAAGATGAAAATTAAAGCTCATGAGCAGGTCTTGGACAGCTTGAGAAAAGAGGCTGTGTTGCTCGGCAAACAGACTCGTGATCTTAACATCGTGCACCAAAAGGTCATACAGGATGTAAGCAAGATGCAAGAGAACCGCGACAAACCGTTGATCTTACCCAAGATCACTAGGTCAGTGGGATTGCAGGCGTACGTCCGAAACGAGGATACTCGAAAAACTAAGAAAATTCCAATCACAACTCCAGCAGCTACACTTATAACGAGAAGTCCGAAGGTCAACGGTTTGACACCTATAATCGCGAGATCGTCACCGATCAGCCGAGTAAGTTTCATCTCTTCTTCATTGTTTTTTAAACAAAGTAATAACTTTATGTTCTTAGCCTAATCCTCAGCAAAAGTCTGTAGCAACTACCTCTCCTAGGCAGCAGCAAAATGCGAAGAGCGCAACTCCGCAGACTCCGCCCATAATCGCAACTGGAACGCCCCAGCGAAACGATAAAGGCGTTATCGATCTCACCGACGAGGATGACAAAGCAAGAAATTTGCATCCCAGTATTCCAAATGGCACTAAAGTTAATATGATCAATCCACCTAATGGTCATAAATTCGTGGTTATGCCGAACGGACAACCCATGATGGTGAAACTTGGATCAATAAAACGTAAGCGCACCATTCAATGTGATGTGAGTTGTGATGTTATTAAGTATATATGTGATATTTGCAGCAAATTCAAATATCGTTATGCCCCAATCGTTATTGCGGCCTGGTCAAAATGGGATGACGAATGTTCCTAACAGCAGCAACAAAGTTGTCCGATCTTCTAATGTTCGCATCGGATCAACAGCTAACATCGGGTTGACCACTGGAAAGAGACAAACCGCTCCTGTTCAAGGCAACATTCGATCGTGGAATAATTATCAAGTTAACCAGAAGATCATCAGGCATCCAGCACCGCTACCCACTGGTCCCGATCAACCAGGAATTTATTCATCAAAGGCCGTGCCTCCAAAACCTCAGCTGATGCTGAACAAGACTCCTTGCGGTACGGGTATAGTGCTGTCATGGAAGATGCCATATAAACTGGAATTGTACGAGGAGATCGCCAGCTACCAGCTGTATGCATACCAGGAAACCAAGAGTGAACCTAAGACTGACAGTTGGGGTAAAATCGGCGACGTGAAAGCCTTGGAGCTTCCTATGGCCGTCACGTTAACACAATTCGCTGTTGGCAACCGATACTATTTCGCTGTGCGTGCTGTTGACGTTCTCACAAGGCATGGATCATTCAGTGAATATCAAACTATTTTATTGTGAGAATCTTATTTAATACTATAAAGTGTACAAAGTGAGAGAACTTGAAAGAGAGAGAGAGAGATGCAGATTTCATGTAAATGTAGAGTTTAATTTATTGTAAATGCCTGTGGCAAACATTCATTTTCAACTTGTCTTTATTTTAACAATCAACTATTTCCTTTTTATACCAATATAATATATATATGTTAAATCATATATATTGTTAATCAAATAAATTGTATTTTGTTTTACGTACACGTACACACACATATATGTATATATAAATATCTATAAATTATGTTAATTTGGTTTAAATAAATTTGATAAATGTAGACAGCAAAAGCATATTGCTTTTGCCGAAACTGCATAAAAAATATGTTTAACATCATGTAAAAAATAAAGCAATATAATCTAAGTTAGAGAAGAATAAGTATTTATTGTTTTTTGAGCTATTTTTGGTATAATAAAATTTATTATGTACATGCGGTTGTATAACATTGATTTGAATTTTGCTTGAACTAACCTAAAATCCTACTAAGCTACATACACAGTATTTCAATATGATTGTATTATCATATCTAAGACCAGTTTTTAGTTTAAGCGCTCGTCAAATTGTAAGTGTTTGAAGATTTTCATGTATATTACTATAATCAATATCGTTTTGATGATACAGGCAAGATTTACTTCCACCAATGTCTGTCCCAACGAATTCCAATTCAAATCAAATTACTCATCCGAAGAACAGCAAAAGATTCTGAGCATCATCAATGAATCGAATGCTGAAGAACTCTCGAGGTATGACATGTCTCAGGCAAGGATAAAGAATTTGGATATGTGGAGAACCAAGAATGGACCGTTCGTGACGCTCCACGAAATTCTAGAGGTCGAAGGTTTAGGTGAAAATGTATTGGATAAACTATGCAAGAGCATTATTTTCAATAGGAGCACCGACAAAGTCGTCAGCACAGCAAAGAACCGTAGACAAGTTCTGACTCCTCAGTTAGACTCACTATTAGCAAATGTGATTATAAACTGTTATGATATTTGAAACAAATTCAATAGTCGTACTATTTACAGAGTTTGCAAGATGCAGTTGGAATCCATTTGGCGCCAACAGGTGTGAGTTGGTCAAAGATGGATAGAGGCTCAAATTTAGTACAATCTTGGAACTACATTGACTTTATGTCAGTTCCTAAGAAGTTAACTCCAACAGATATATTTCAAATGGTAAGTTTTTTTTTTTGAAAACTATATGATTTGCAAATCTAAGTTTTTTTGTCACACAGTCAGTTAGTATTTTAAATAAGCTGCCAATTGGAGAAGTGTATGTGATGGAGTCCTCACAATCTGCTGGACCTCAAAACAGCAATATGAAGCAAGCTCCAACTTATACTCAGCAAATTGAGCTAAGCTCAATGCTCTTGGCGCTTCTCAATACAAACAACAAACATGCCATCAATATGGGAACTCAGGAGAATCCTAGTTATGAAAACAATGTTTACTACCTAAGATCAAATCTACCTGCAAGGTATACCTTTAACATAAGTTTGTGTTAATCATAAATTAATTATGTGTTATCTGTTTGTAGAATGTTCAGGACCTTTGTGGGAAATGAAAGAGTCTCAACTACAGGCATTGTTAAACAACTTTTAGATAAAGATGATAGTTTGCCTTGTTCCACCGTAGAATTCCAGGATAATTTGAAGGAATATTATTTTAGCCAGTCCGCGTCTCGCAAGGATCTGCTAGGACAATCTCTGATGCTGGTTATAACTTTCATGAACTTGTGCATATACAGAAATCCAAACAGTTTAGCGGCTATTGCACCGGGACGTAGGTAAATTAAGCTAAATATAATTATATTGTACATATTGTTTAAATAATTTTAATGTTAATTTTCCATTATTACAAATAATTCATTCATAAATGGAAGTATTGAAATTTGATTAATTTATTTCTGCAACCTAACATAAACAAATGTTCGTTTGGTTGCGAAGTCAACTCATAACCTCTAAATAAGCAGTAAATAAAAGTTAGAGATAAAATTGTAAACATGGATAAAACGTTAACTTATTTAGCAGAGGTAGAGGCTGTAGCGCAAGAAATTATCCAACATAAAGAAGAAAAGTTACGACTTAGTAATAGTCGTAATAAGTTTAATGAAGCGTTGAGGTGTCTGCAAAAAACTGAGCATAGAACAACATTCCTGGACTTGGGACGAACCCTGTTGGAGTTCCCAAAGGATTTGGCCATGGATTTAATACAAAAAGGTAACTTTCAATTTGAGAAATGATGATTTTGCTATTGTTTATCTATATTGTAGATATCAAAGAGACTACTGATGAGATCGATAGATTGCACAGTGAGATAAGAAACAAGGCTGGTGTTTTGAGGGATCTGGAGCATGAAGAGAGAATAGTGGGCTTTGGATTAAAGCCATTAAGTGCTAAGGAAGCAAGTGCTTTAAGTAAAGCTATCAATTATTAGGAGAATAAAATTTATTGGACACTAAGTACATTTTCCACAACATTTCTTCAAACTTAAATCATCGGAAGGTTTATGGTTGGGAGTCCAAGGTCCCAGGCTGCCGTTAGCATAAAAGTCCATTGGATAACTGTTGTTGGTTTCTTTGGATACCCATGGGGCATTTCCCAAGCACACCGCTAATTCATATGGGGTCAGCAAGGCCTTGTCAAAGGCGTTTCCCCAATCAATGGAAAGACGTGGACAGGCGATTTGCACATACGCATCCAATTGGAACAGTTTCAATTTATCTGGAAAGATTTCTGACAACAGAATAACAGTGGTTGTTTTATTATGCTCCTTGAGTTTCTTCTGCAAGTTTTCCACAACTTTCACACTTCCTTGCCTTCCCAATGTTCCCATGACAACACCAAAATCTTTAGCATTCTTTGCAGATTCTATAGATTTAAGCCTGTTCCTTTGCATTTCTTCATGCTCGTAATACTCTTTTGTGAACTTTTTGTCATATGGATCATACCTGTATGCTTGTAATCTAGGATTTGCGATCATTGCTGCCTCCAAGTGAAACCTGCCATCCCCCAGATAGATGATCGCATCAACACAAGTCATAACAGGTGCAGTGCATCCAAGGATTTCACCAGGAGATAGCGGTTTAAATTGGGGTATCTTTGTGTGGTATCCTGCAGCATCCAACTCCTTGCTAACTGCCTGCAGTGTGGATATAAACTGGATCGTACTTACTAAACCCAATCTCGTTTTTGCATCAAAATTCAATTTGATTGTTTCTATTAAATGTAATGGGTCTATTTTGATGTCAACAAATACATAGAGCACCTTGAGTCCAGCTTTAGGATCCATTGGAACTAAACAGCTGTGTCCATAATGAATCAACAGTTGCACCCCCAATGCTTTAGCAGTGATATCATCGATGCAGCAAGCCCCATAAGTTACGTCACCCATGATCAGGCATTCGGCTCCAGTGAACTCCAAAATGATATCAGCTATTGTTGTTGAGTAGAGGAGCAGTCCTTCTGGCATTTGAAGAGCCACCATTGTCGCTTTCAATTCTTCGATGCGCCATAGCGTTTTGTAAATCTCAAAGTTGTAGTTGCTCGGGAGATCTTCAATGGCCCTTTGCAATTTAGGGTTCTTCAAGATGTGCTCCGGAATTTTATTCACTTTCGTGGCTCTCACCACTTTTCGCTGTGGTTTTGCCTTTATCACCACAGCTGTTTCTTCCATCGTAAATGTACAAATCGAGCAAATTGTATGAAACTACTGATAATACAAGAGTGCGGTTATGTTTATTGTCAAGCAGTTCAAATATTCTTTAGTAGATGGCGTAACGCAAACTAATTAGTTTCAGTTCAATCATTTCATATACAGGGTGTTCATATAAAATTTATATTATTATTTTTTTCCACATTTATCAACAATTTATTGAACATTATTTTTATTAAAAATAAGTTACTACCACAATTCGACAATATGATCCAAAAAAATAAGAGTTGCGTATTTCAAGCTGTATTTGATTTATTACGTATTTTGGCAAAGATAAAATGCAGCTGCTGCTGCGTTAGTATTTACGACCTAAATCGTATCCCCTCGATACTACTTGCAGCAGCTTTGCACACATCAATTATCAACCCTAAGAAGCATGCATGAGTCACCTTTTGAGAATGAGAGAATAACGAATAATCTCCCCCTTCATACTTGTTTGTTGTTGTTATGTGATTCAATCAAGTAAACAGAAATTTAAGCCAAAAAATGGCATAATGGTTATTATACATTTACAGTGTCGAAAGAACAGTTATTGTCTTTGTTCTATACAAAATTAATATAAAATATGAAAATGATAAGTTGTTATTTGATTTTGGAAGGTAAAAAATACGTTAAAATAAATGTGAGTTGGTGCAGTTTGTGATGGTATGGCGAGAGAGAGAGAAGTTGTAGTGCTGGTTTGTTTGTAGGGGTTGTTGGTTGGGTTTAAGAGAGGGAGAGTTTCGTTTGTGCTTGAACTTGAATGAAAAGCGTCGCGATGGCGATGATGGTGCAGAGGGTGCGAGTTGGAAGAGGCCGCGTGGGGTGGGAGTTTATTGATCGATGGTCGCGTATGGCGTGCGGAGTGTAAGAGAGCTCGTTCTAAGGGTTGGCGATATTATCGACTGGCTGGGTAGTCCCGCAGTGGAGCGGGCAAGTAAACACAGTGCAGTGCAGGAGACGAGCGTGTCTGCATCAGAAGCAAGGCCGACGACGAAGAAATCACAGAGGGAAGGATTGGATTGGAGATGTGGTGCTCATGAGGGTGCGCGTGTTCCCAGTGATTTTTGCATGATTCGCGTGTTGTCCTGATCGCAGAAGAGAATGTCCTCCATATCCGCCCAGGGGGTGGTGGAGCGAGCGTCCGCGGAGCTATCGAAACGCATCAATGGCCTCCGGGGCAGCAAGCATCATTCAGCCAAGGGCAGCGTCATGGAGAGGGTCACGAACGTCTTCTGCGGCAGCAGCAACAACCCGGTCACGGCTCCGGAGAAACCGTCCCGTTTGCTGCCTAGAGGTGGTGGAAACAGCACGTCCACGACGACGACGACGTCTTCTGCCACCTCAAAAGCTCTCAGCAGCCACGCGAGACAGAAGCAGCAAGCTGCAGTTTCGCGCTCCTTCCTCCAGGCCCATCTCACGTGGGATCAGCTGATGGCCGCCGACTGGTTCCTGATGAAGTTCTTCCTGTACTTCAATTCCAGCGAGCGGTGCGTGCTTGCGCAGGTGTGCTCGCTGTGGAGGGACGTTCTGTACCGGTCCCCCAGGTACTGGTCCGGTCTGGTGCCGGTCGTGCAGTGTCGTGAGCTCAGGAACTTTCAGCAGCCGGAGAGGGCCCGACTCTACGCCTCTTGGGTGTGTCGTGGCTTCCACACGCTCGGCCTCATGGCTGCTTCCGACGAGGATGCCCTCGATCTGGTCAGCTCGTTCCCGCTCGCCTCCAAACACGTGCACTCCCTCAGTCTCAAATGCTCCAGCATCACAGACAGAGGTTTAGAGACACTGCTGGATCATCTCCAGGTATACACTACTAAAATAATACTTTGTGCACTCACAGTTCATATGCATTTTGAAGAAAGAATATATTTACCTTTAAAATGCCAATACTAAACTGAAAAGAAATTATATATTTACAAAATATTATAGAATGAGGATTGTGATAATATTTCCAAATTTTAAAAAAGTGGATGCGCCAGGCAAATAAATTATTATTTTTTACATCATATTGATCAATCAACAACAAAAATGTTGTAATAGAAATAATTTTTACTGTACTGTTATAAAAATCAGTAAAGTCGCTAAAATCATCTCCAAATGGCAATAGCTAAATCCTAAATATTAATTACATTACAAATTAGTTACATAATACTAACATCAAAATTATTTCAACGGACATAAACTAAACATGTGTTCACATTCGATGCGCTGACATATGCTAGATCATCAATAATAATAATATACAATAAATATTGATTCTGAAACGTTTCCGTTCTGCACGTTTTATCGTAAACATTCGAGAGCCTCGCATTTGCTCGTTCGGCGGCGCGTAAACAATGCAGATTATCCAACAACAACGGCGTACACAAATTGCTACAAATGCATGCAGGTCAATATTTACACAGACAATGCACACAATTTCAATATCTCATACAATATTTATCACTATTCGAAGAATTCACTAGAAAATAATATAATCAGATATATTTAACGTAAATAAAATAAATTTGATATTTGCTTTATTGTATGAAAAGTTTTCATACTGAAATTGTCTAATTGTGTTTCATGTGTTACATTTATTCAGCCTTCGCCGCGTTACTAGCTAGATATGCAAAGACATGATGGAAATAAACTCTGAACATGTTTGATCGATATTGAATTAAAGTTACAACACGATACTATTGTAATAAGCGTTTTTTTCTGTCCTATTATTCAACGCTCTGTGTCTGTATTTTAAACGCTAACAAAACAAAAGTCTATACAAAAAAATTATAAATTAAGAGAATTTAATTTCAAATGAATAATGTTCGTTAGACATCCAAGAAGAGCATATAATTACAGTCGTCATTTTCATATGATGGCATCCATGAATAATGGATCGGGGAACTTCTCCAAGCATTGCATGTGAATTATTCTATCTGAATTGTAAATACAGCACAAAAAAAAAACTTAAACTCCACTTGCAATTGAATATCTGACCTAAAATCCAAAGTGCATTCAATAACAACGAAAACTTTTTTTAAAAAATGTATGAGGAAACAGAAAAAAGCTTCCACCATTCAATTCAAACTGAAACTAAATTAAAGCAAATGAATAAAATAAACTTTTGTTGCGTTCGGATATTCAAGTTTTCTTTTGTATTGTATTATGAGATAAAACCAAAACTATTGATTTTTGCTAATCTGAAAATAGAATCACCGGGAAATCTGCTCAATGCATCAACAACCTGAGGCGGTTTGAGAGATACTGCTTTTTTTTGCTACTATAAATTCGGTTCAGAAAGAACCGCTTCGTGTATCTGTTTCGGATCCCTCGAAGCAAGATTACAATCACAAAGGGAAAAACCGTTGCCCGGCGCATCCACATTTAATAACATTATAAATACAGGACACGAGATATTTTGCGGCGTATATTTTTTCCTTTTTCCCTTTGGCGCCGACGAATCAATAAAGAGGAAGCATAGTTCAAAGACACCTCTACTTTATGCATACACACACAGAGAGAGAGAGCGTTAAAATAATAAATTTAGCGTGAACGCTGATTAAATTCGACGCTAAAACTTTTGCCCTTAAGTGTCTCACTCTTTGCATATTTTACACGCGAAAAGTGGTCTCCCACAATTTAATCCGCGCCACGGCATCTTCACGCTCCCAGGCTTTATCTTTATGTAACCTAAATTCTATATTTTTTAAATTTATCTTTAAATACAACATTTAAATGATTATTATTCATATTCCTATAGGGAATGAATTTCATGTAAGTAGTTTATTGCATCGATCGTTCGTATGGATTCCCCAAATGTAATTCATTGATCGATATGAAGCCGGTAACAAATGACCCGCTTAACGTCGAGAGACCGACGGATTCATAAATTGTGCGGATTTAACGAGAAAATAGAGGGACGCAATATACGTAAACCATTAAATATTTCCTCACGCCGATCAAACGCCTGCTGGTGTTTGTGCATTTCTGCAGAGAAACACACGCAAACTTTTTATTTATGCATTTGACCCTCAAAGCGGAATTCCGAACAAATCAATAGTTTTCACGCATCGCAACTTTGCTTATTTTCCATTTCATCCACACGAAAAACCAACCATATTATTTTAAACTCTTTCAAATATATGGTATGGATTAAAAATCAACTTTTACTTTGCGCATTGTGGGATGTGCCTGCATTGATTTTCCCGGTTTCGCATCGTGAATGTTGCAGAATTATGTGTGCGGAAATGTCTTTGGCACAGTTATTCACTTGGCAAAGAGAGGAGAGGACGTCGAAAAGAACAAAAGGGCGGCAATGAATGCGGGGAGAGAGAGAGCGCGTCTTTGGCGCCGTTCCAGGCAGGCCAAACTTACACTTCAATTCGATAGCACACATTTCGCAAATTACTTACGGACACGTGCGATGTCTAACGAAGCCCCCGCATTCATTCGATCAACTGGCGAAGATCTAATTAGCGACGCTCCCTGCAGCAGCAGCAACAGCAGCAGGTTTCAAATTGAATTAGGAAAATAGGTGCACCGAGTTGCGTAACTTGATTTCGGTCGTCCTTTCAACGACAGCACCAGATTCTGAATGTGAATAAATTCAGTCAGATTTCATTTAACATTGCGCTTTAGGGAAAGTCGGTAATTTCAATAAAATCTAGTTTTCCACCTTTTGTCTGAAAAAGTAGGAGTAGGTTTCAATAGCAATTTGAAAATTGTTGATGTTGAAAACCTGTAATGATTAATATAGAAGAGAAAAATGTTCGTCGGGAAACTAATATGTTGATCTATGTGAGATTGAAAAATGAATAATTTTAAAAATCAAACCTTTGCTGTGCAGATGTGTGGCCTATTTCCGAGTGAAAGAAAAAACGAAGCAAGACTTTTCCGTTCATGTTTGAAATCAATATTCATTATGCTCGTCGTATGTTTGATGCGAAGAGGAAGAAGACCTGTTGATCGAATTCGTTTTATCCTTTGCAGTCGCTGTTCGAGCTGGAGTTGGCCGGGTGCAACGAGATCACAGAGACAGGACTGTGGGCGTGCCTGAATCCTCGGATCGTTTCGCTGACGCTGACGGACTGCATAAACGTGGCCGACGAGGCCGTGGGGGCGGTGGCTCAGCTGCTGCCCGCCCTCTACGAGTTCTCCCTACAGGCTTACCACGTCACGGACGCCGCTCTCTGCTACTTCTCGCCGAAGCAGAGCAACTCCCTGAACATCCTCCGCCTGCACTCCTGCTGGGAACTAACCAATCACGGCGTCGTCAATATCGGTAACTATCGTTTCTACTCGACTAACAACGAGCACTGCCGATATTGTTAAATCAAGGCAGTTAATGTCAGTATTCATTAGAAAATATATGTATATAAAAAAACGAAAATCAAAATAATTTGTAAATGGAAATCTGACCTTGCAAAATGTATCTAATTTCATTACGATTGCACGAATTTAGGAATATCGACGTTCTCGGTGCTTTTCTTTAGAATCACTCACACAAACACAATTCACTTGCAACAAGAGCGACCTACTAAAGTAACAATAAATAAATGGTGGTAATACCATGGCAACAGCAAACAAAAGTATTACGCAAACTTTCATGTGTCACTTTAATCGTTAGCACAATTTAAAAAAAAAACTAGGCTATCGATTGCGTCCCCCTTTGCAATTGGACATTTACAATTTGCCCTCCGATGCTATCATTAACTACTTCGCTCTTACAATTTGTGAAAATTGAAGTTTCATTGTCGAGACTAATTATTTTATTCGTTGAATTCACTTTGCAAGAATCGGCTCGATTTGTACAATTTCGATGTTATCGATTTTTAATTAACAATTATATATTGATTGTTTTCATTTTCAGTCCATTCTTTACCCAATTTGACGGTGCTCAGTCTGTCCGGTTGCAGCAAGATAACCGACGACGGCGTCGAGCTGATAGCCGAAAACCTGCAGAAGCTGCGATCCCTCGACCTCTCCTGGTGCCCCAGGATCACCGATGCTGCCTTGGAATACATAGCCTGCGATCTCAATCAACTCGAGGAGCTAACACTAGATAGGTAACACATTAAATCGTACGAAATCAATGGATGTATATATTAAATTCGGGATTTGTTTTGCAGATGCGTCCATGTGACCGATATTGGTGTGGGTTACATCTCGACGATGCTCTCCCTGTCGGCTCTATATCTGCGCTGGTGTTCGCAACTCAGGGATTTCGGTCTGCAACACCTATGCGGCATGCGAAATCTGCAGATCCTATCGTTGGCGGGTGTGTTAATTTAATCACATCTTAAGCATTCAGGAAATTAATGTATTCTCTTTCCAGGTTGTCCGCTCTTGACATCAAGTGGATTGTCCAGTCTCATACAGTTGAGGCACATGCGAGAACTGGAGCTCACCAATTGTCCGGGAGCTTCGAAAGAACTCTTCGACTACCTTCGGGAGCATCTGCCGCGGTGTCTCGTTATCGAATAATCGATTTGTATGGAGAAGATACGAGATGGGTTGCAAACCTTGATGTCCACTTCAGCATTACATAGGGAAAAAAACGTAATTCGAGCAAACTTTAGTCGAAGACGCTTACAACTCACCACGTAATTGTTCAAATGGAAGTAATGTGATGAGAATGTCAACCGGAGAAGCGTATATTTTTATAGAATAGTGAGAATATATCTAGGAGACGCAACCCAATCCGAAACGAAGACATTGTCCTCAGAGGTCATCAAAAAAGTAAATAAATAAAACCTCGAGCGCAAATCGCGTCTCGCGAATATCACCCGTCGATGTGCTAGTTTCGTGCAATAACTAATATCTTGGAATATTAACTTGTAAGTCCTTAAGAGAAACGTGGAGCGCGTATTTTTTATTTGTAAATGTACAATCGTGATTAGGTTCCCCCACCGTATTTCGTTCTCTTTCACTTATTCAAGATGTTTCTTTTCCTCTCTTTCTCTCCCCTTTTTTTAAATGTTTTATTTAAATTTGTAAATAATGTAAGAATATTTGAACGTTTTAAAATAATAATAAAAAAAAAAAAGAAATCAATATTGAAAAAGAACACAGGTGTTATTTAATAAGAAAAGACTGCTATATTTTTTAGTAACTAAGTTTCCGAACTTTACCAATCTGCAAATTTAACAAACCGCACTGTCGCTTCCACATTGTTATCTTATATACGCGTATAAACATACTTAAGTCTATTAAAGACCAACTAGATCCGAAAAAAAAACACAAAAAACAATTTGCCAATTACAAGAAATTCCGCTTCACACAAACAAAACGAAAACTATGCATAAATGCGGAGATTGGTAACTAACTACTAATAATTGATTGTTAGCAGTTTTTCTTTTTGTAAGAGAAATATAAATTTATTGATAATAAAATTAAGTAACTATTATATAAATATAATTAATACATACATAAAAACTAATTGTCCCACCAAGTCAGTAATCCCAATCCAGGCTCATTGATGCTCCCCTAAAAAACAAATCAATCAATCGATGTTACAAAAAATCAAAATAAACCAAACTCACCGTTATCAAATAGGGAATTTTATTTTCAGTTCCCTCAGAATTTTCCTGCTTGATGACCTGCGTGTTCGGTTGAGTGGGGCAGGTCTCCTTGAACGTTTCAGCTGTTACGCGAAACCTGACTGTTTCACCTGCGTCCATGAAGAGGTCATGTTTCTCCCCATCACCTAAATCGTACTCCCAAATCCAAGCCTGCTCGGTTTCATCAAACCGAGACGGATGTTGCAACGCGCTCGGGGGAATGATAATATCATCAAAGAAACCCATGGAAACTAAAAGTTGAGTTTTTAATAACATATACATTGTTAAACAATTGAAGCTTACCTTGTACTCCATCCTTTGTGCAGGACCGTATTTTACCCAAGAGTATTTCTTCTACGAACGGTCTGAAAACTATGTATCTGAAGGTTACTCTGGTGTGTGAAGCCCCATCTCCGGGGAATATAAATGAATCTTGCAATTTCGTTATATCGTGCAACGCTATGCACAGTCCAACATTTAAAACAACCTGAAATTAGTACTTTTTAATTGTTTTATACACAAATGTGTGAAAAGTACTTACTTTGTTTGCTAACTTCTTATCCAACTCACGTGCTATTACAGTATTTAACTTTAAATTGAATACGTCCGGTGGGATACGCGTAACATTTTCCATCTCTGCTAAAATATACATATTGAAATGTTTAAATTTCGATGTTTTTGTTGCTGAAAGTTGTTCCTTTCTAGGTTAAAATTTGAATGAAATGTGTACGCTCCTACTAAAAGATAATAAACGAAATGCTACATAAAATACCACTAGATGTCGGTATTTAGAAACTTCCAATAATTCAAAGAATTGTTAATAATTATTATATAAAAATATTTATTTAAAAAAATTAAATAGTTTAATAATTATATATTTAAATTAATCGAGTATCTGCAAATATTCCATTGAAACAGCGCCAAAACTGCTGAAGTATTAACTTGATAGTGCCATCTCGTCCATTACTTGAGAAGATTGTAGTTCATTCATAGTTGCGCTGTTTTACATTGTATTTACTTTTTGTAGCTAAAAGGTAAATATTTATTAATAATTATGTTATTCTATTAGATATTAATGAAAATATGATAAAATATTGGTTTAATAACGTAATTGCTAATGCTTAATTATTTATATATTCATTCAGAACTTTATGTTAGGAGGTAACCTCTAAACGTCAGATTCAAATTGAGATCTAGTTGGATCTGGTCATCATTGTGTCAGTTAAAAGTGGTAAAATGACATACGAGTATTAAAAAAATACAATCATGAGTTTAGTGCAAGAAGTGTTGTCCTCGTTCGAGGCAGCAAACATGGAAAAAGTAAACAATAATCTGCCAAAGCTTATATCAGAGTCGCTGTCGCTGAAAATGGAAACAGTCGCCTATCTGGAAGAAACATATAAAAACTACTTCAGCAGACAGGCCGTAATAAATAATCTGCAGACTAAATGCAACATACTCATCGAACAGCAAACTGAGCTCAAAGACAGCATTACAGTGGTTGTCAAAAAGGATGCTAACAAGGCAAAGTTGGAAGTGTTGGATTGCAGCAAGAAACAAGACGAGATCAACCTGAATTTAATGCTGTGTTCACATTTGTTGAGCATCTATAGCTGCATTTCAAAGATCACTAAATGTCAGTCCAACAAAGAGTATTTGAGGTGTGTGGAGGAACTAGAGATGAACGAGAGTAAGCTGTCTGAAATTAAACCTGAATATGATGAAATTGAACTGCTCACCAATCTATCGATGGAATTCACAGAGGTAAAAGTTAATTTGATTGAGAGACTCTGCGGAGTTGTAAATAATCATATACAATATTCAGTGAAGGATGTTGGGTCTGGTATAATGATGGCAACAATTAATATACGGGAAAGAAATGATGAGGTTGAAGAGGCTCTGAAAGCTTTGGCAAAGTTGGAGGAGAGGATAACACCATTGGATGATTTGATTTACTTCATATGGGAGCATATTTATAGTAAAATTGTTAACCATTCCACGGATCTGCAGATTGAGAAAAGTGATGAAGGGGGTGTACAGATCATTTTGAAATTTAACAGTGAACACAAGGATAGTTACAGTGATGTGTTCAAACAGATCATCAAAGTTTCTGAGTTGCTGGATAAGCATTTCAATTGTGAGATTAAGGAGAACATTACTATCCTGGATTACGTTGGGGAGGATATCAGGGATAATTTGTCTGAGTTGATTATTAAGTTTTGCTTGAATGATACTATCCCATCGAATGAGGAAGGCTTGAAAAAGTATAATGAGGTATGATTTTAGTTTGAATCAAAATTAAATATAATTTTTTTATTTACTTTTAAGGTGATTGCAGCCACTGAGTTGCTGCAGCAAAAGTTGATACAGACGCACATTTTCTTGCCTGAAACAAAGTCGATTTTGAAGCATGCCCAGAATATCGATGTTCATTTCATCAATAAGAAGTGTAAAGAATATTTATCGTCGGCTGTGGATCTTATGAAAGAGGATCTACACGATACCGTGCAAGTTGGTAAAGAGAGCGACGCGTTGGTAAATGATGAATTTCCGCAAAGTTCCGTATCGAAAAGTGTGCTGAAACTGGTCGACTTGGTGGAGAAGATCCTGATCAGCGCCAGTACAAGTTCGGAACTTTGCGCTGGACGTTTGTATACGACATGTAAAAACATCATTTACTTGTACGGTCCGGCGATCTGCGAGCATCACCATAAGCTGCTGAAAAGCATTCCGCAGCAGATCGCTATATTCTACAACAATTGTATGTATATGAATCACGAGTTCGGTCTGAAGAAGTGGAACGCTCTGCTGATGAAGTTGCCACCAAGCATAAGGTCTGCGCCGTTCGATCTGGGGCAGCACAGTTTGCAGTGCGTAGCTAACGATAAGTTCGAAGATTACGTGCAGGCGCAGATCGCGCAAATCGAGAAGACGGTAAATGAATCTGGTATTTTGGATCTGATGTTCCAACAGAAGATTGAAGTGTCGACGGAGAAAGCCGTCAGGCAGTGTCTGCGGCAGCTGGAGCTCCTCAAAACCGTATGGCAGAAGATCCTGAACTACTACATGTACAACAAAACGATCGGAGTGTTGCTGAACTCTCTGGCGAAGACAATCGTTACCTGCATCTTAACAGTACAGGATATCTCCGCTACCGGCTCCGAACAGCTGGTGGATATCCTGAAGGTGGTTCAGGCGAGGGGACCGAAGCTCTTCACGGAATCTGGAGAGATTCACATGTACGTGGACAGTTGGGACAAGCTCTACGAGATGGGGTTCGTTCTGAAGAGCAACATGCTGGATATTAACGACAGGTGGGCGGATGGTAAGGGCCCTTTGGCCCTTCATTTCACAGCAGATGAGATGAAGCATTTGATTAAAGCTCTGTTCGCGAACAGCGATATGAGGGCGAAGATGCTTGCCCAAATAAAGAAGTAATTAAGTGATAGGGCGTAGGGAGATTGTATGTTTGTTTATTGTAATAAAACAAAGAAAGTAATGGTTCACATGTATTTTTGTTTCTCTCTGAAAACATTTCGTATTAAGTATTAATTGTTTGTTTTCTTTTTTTCTTCCTCTCTTCCTTTTTTCAAATTGTTTTGCTGTTGCACACGTCGCTCCTTTTTTCTTCATATTACTTTCTTTTATATGGTAAAATAATTGATATCACAGAATAATATCTTACATTTTAAAATCCTTAAATAATTAATAATAGTAATAATAATAATGCAAAAATTACACAAGTAATTGGGAACTAAAAACAAGAAGTTAATCGTAATAGTTGTTAAGAAAACAGTTGAATCATCTTCCTAACTTGTAGTGTGTTTGTATGTGTGTCTTCGTGTATATAGTAAAGTAAAACAAAACGCAGCCGCAAAGAAAAAAAAAAACAAATACGCATAATATTCAGATGGCACTCACTTTTACACAACAAGAACAACAACATCAACAAAAGGAAACAGAAACACAAAACAAAATTAAATTAAAAAATATATATATAATATGGTAACTATGAAGTATAGCAATCATATATGACTAGTAAAAAAAAAATATTAACGGCAAAGAACGCATAGTACTTAATATTATTTTTCTTTTCGTGTTTTATTACATAGTATTTTGTATTTAAATTAAATTATGACTATCACTTAATCATATATATATTCATATTCATTTATTTTTTTATATATATATATAATATTTATATATTGCTCCTCTCTATCTTTATTTTTTTTTTAAACCTTCCACGGTTATCAGTTCGCAAGATAAAAAGTAAGTTTTACAAAATAAAATCCGTCCGTTCTTTGGTTTAACTTACGCCTATCTTGTTGGTGTATCTTTTTGTTTTCTTTTCATCTTTTATTACGAAAATATATAATATACTGTATATATATATTTTCATGTCTCCTCTTCATAAGAAAATAAATATGTCAAAAGCGAATCCGCGATTATTAACCGGAACAAACCTCGGAGTGCTCGTCCCATGCTGAAACCTGAAACAAACAAACAAACAAATAATAATTAGATTTATACTTTCATTGTACGTTTGGTCAGGTTATATCGCGCCAAACAATGCACGAAACTGAGGAAGCGACGTAGTAGGAACGTAATTATTACCTGGCAGTCTCTGCTGCAATACCATTGATTCCCGCAGCCGGCGCACACGAATTGAGCTGCTTTCTGGTTGCATCCCTGGCACTGGGGCACCTCATCCCCATTATCAGAATTGGTGTCCGCCCTATCGACGATTTCGCCGCTCTCGTCGATCACCAATCTGTCGACGCTGTCCTCTGCCTCTTCGTCCTCCTGAAAAACACGAAACAGTCAGTATGTACTGTCGGGCAGTCGCATTCGGGGACACAACCATTTGGTGCTTTCGCTTCGGCGATGACTCGTAATCATTTCCAACCGGCGTGATCGTAATCTCGTTCCTGGCCTGTACACGAAAACATTCAACATTTAAGCAACAACAAAAAAAAACACAAAGACTCGATGCGATCTGTTGCTTGCTCTATATAGATAATTTGCAGCACCACCAACATCATCATCATCATCATCTATTCAGTTACGCTCACCTTGTTCGTGCTAAGTATGTCCGATAGCGAAACCTTGGAAGCTTTGTTCCCGGGAGAGTATTGGTTCTGAGATGCTACGGAGCACTCGGGAGCAGTCAGCAGCCTCGCCAATGTCGGGCTAAATGTAGTCTTATTATCTGTTTTGTTGCTTTGAGCCTGAAAAATTGCACTTCTATGAATATAATTGCATTCCAATATAAATTGATGTTCGTTGTAGACATTTAGGATTAACAAAACTTACTTTAGTTAAAATGCCATGGAGTAAGGAGTTGGTGGGCGGAGTGGTCGTAGAAACAGGATGCACCGTGACTTCCGGGTAAGGAGGCGGAGGTTTCATAGTATTCTGCAGAAGTTCCTGTTTATCCGACTGCGACATCTTGGCGAAGTGCACCAGGATATCCTTGAAGGATGTGTTGTCCTGCGCGTCCGAGTTTGAGGAGCTCGACAGATCCGGGTTGGCCTGCAAACGGAAGGAAGGAAATGATGAGTTAAGAATGATTCGAATCATAAGTGTAAAACTAACGGCGTCCATAGCACTGAGTAACATGCCGATGTCGCTGTTGGAATCGATCGAGCTGTTGAGGTTCTGCCTGACCTGAGATCCGGAACCCAGGGCGACATTCGAGAAATTAATGATGCCGGTGTTGGATATTCTCGAGGAGCCGTCGCCGCTTCCGCCGTGGCCGTTCGATCGGATCCGCCGCCCCCGCCTTGGCACCGTTTCCGGATGTCTTTGTCTGTAATCGGCTATGATGGACTGCACGTCTCTCACGGGCCTCTGCTTGTTGCTGCCGCTGTTATTATTACTGTTGCCATTGTTGTTGTTGTTCCTCGCATCGTGACCGTTCATCTCGTAACTTCTCATCTTGTGGCGCAACTCTTGTCGCTTCTTCGGCATCAGCTGCTTGCTGCGCGACTCGCCGTTACCCCGGTCTTCCGGATCGGTTTCCGATATCTCCAGACCATTGCTGAGCAGGTACACTTGCTTCTGCCGCTGGATGCGCATCAGAAGTTCCTCCTTCATCTTCTTCACGGTCAGGATGTTGTTCCATTCGCGCTCCTTCTCCTTGGCCAAATCGCCGAGCTTCTGGATGTCCTGAAGTATCTGCTCGGTCTGCAGCTGCATCTGGTCCTCGTTCGTCACGTCCAGGCAATCGGTGAAATCGGAGAGGATCTTGTTGCGCAGCGTGAACTCCTGCTGCAATTCAGATTTCTGCTTCTTCGGTGGCGTCTCCTCCGGCTCCACGTTCTTCCGCTTCTGCGAGGTGTCGCATTTAGGGACGATCGGCTGATCCTCCTGCTTCACCTCGAACGAGTGAAAATCAAAGTCCTCCTGCACTTTGACGCTCGTCTCCGTCGGACTCTTCGGTTGTTCTTCGTCCGATTGGGTCTGCGCCTCCTCGGTGCGACCCTGCTCAGCGTGCCCCGGCGATGACGGCTGTTGCTGGGTGTCGCATCCTTCCTTCACGTCCTCCATTACGTGCATCTTGTTCAGGCTGCGGAGCAAAAGGAGAAAGGATTATAGCATGTATAAATACTTTGGCTTCGGGGACTTTGACCTTCCCAGGTGCAAGTCAAGTGAAGAGTAGCAGAGGCGGAGGGGTAGCAGCAGCAGCGTCTGGTAACCGTAACCGCCCGTCCGCCCGACCGACCGTTCAAGAACAAGTACAATGAGAATTTTAAGAAATTCTGGAATTGGAAACGAAAACTGTGTGTGTGTGTGAGAGAGAGAGAGCGCGCAGGAGGGGAACAAGAGCGGTGGCAGTGCGCTGTGCTTGCTCCGTGTGTTGTGTAATAAAAATAACTAATTTCACTAAATGCTAATTGGGTCGCGGCGTCGTAGCGAGTTCGTCGGGTCGTAGACCCTCGGGGTTGAACGACCTACTACTACTCCCCCGCCTCCCTCACGCGCACTCCCCCAAACCAACGACGACGACGACGATGGAGACGACTCTCAACTGGTGCGTCGCTCTTTTCTCTTCATTACTCACCTACGCACTACACACCATTTTAATACCAAGTGTGCATCGATTATTCCCATCGAATTATGTGAAACATAAAACTCAACATTCAAAAAAAAATTATATTAACGTTAACATTAATCGCGATAACGCTAAAACTCATTGAATAATTGAACTCACAACAGGAAAGGGAATTCATTAACTTATCCTCCACGAATTAGCAAATTAACAAGATCTAATTGACTGCAAATGCATTTACATAATTATAACATTTCCATCATCAGACAGAAGCAATGTTTAAACGTTACATAAATAAATAAAGAAATATTTAAAAAGAAATCTAGTTTTATGAGCAATCGTTCATTAGCTGATTAGCAATAGTGTAGAGGCAATAAATTGCGTTGTTAATTACGTTGTGGTAGATGGCAGATAATTGTTAATTTATAATTTCGCCGGCCGGCGTGAAACTTCAGCGGAATACATTATTATCTCAATGAAACTACTTACTCTGTTTCACTCCTCGGCTCGGATTTAATTGCTTATCTCGCGCGCATTCGCAATTAGCAACAAACCCGACAATAAAGACGATATTACATTATTATTATTATATTGGATTTACACTATGCCGCAGTTTGTTTACTTTGAAAGAGAGATTAATCATTTAAACTGGACTGAAGATTTGAAGAAAAACTTAGTTTATGCCCGATATTTGTATGAATATAAACCATGCGTGAAATTTATCGAACTCGTGATGGGAATAGTTTAATCGTGAATGAAGTAGTTAGTGTTACGCACGTTTTCGAATGTATTGAAAAATCATCGTCAACAAGTCCATATGAGAATTGTCAATTAGGTCTTTTGCTAACCGGAACAGCGGTGTTTGCGCACGTACGCGTACTTCCAAAATTTCTAATTCCAATTCGAAAGATACAATTATTTTAAAACTTAATTAGTATCAGAGTGTTATTCAACTTTGATGATAAATTGCTTCTAGAACAAGTTAGAGTAGTTAATTCACATAAACTTATCTTGCCTACACTCCATTTGTAATTATAGTATTGAAACGTAGCGCAGAACATTACAAATGCATTACTCCTCGATTATATTTAGTGGCGCTTCATTTGATGATTTCAATTCGGTTTAACTTTCACAATTATCAGATACAAACAAATGTAAACGCAATTGTGATTTCAACAGTTTACACTTTGCGTCGTCGTCCGTGCGTACGCAGATCCCATTATCGCTGATATCATTAAACGCAACTTGCAACGCTCATAATTAATTATGAATCGCTGAATATAGTAACCGTCACAAAATTGATGACAATCAGACTATTGCTTTGCTCTATATTTAATAAATATCTAAATATTATTATTGGAGGTAAGCGAACAGACAAGTCAAATTAGTTTTATCGAAAACAAAAACGGAATTCGTTTGATAAGTAAATGTATCTGTGTTACCGGAAACAGAAGAAGCGTATCCATTGATAAATCTACACTTGGAGGAGAGTTGACGTCCAATTTGTATTTAAAATATAAATGATGTTCATGAATATTTGTAAATCGTTTAGATTTGATGACGTTTTGTTATCTAATGTTGTCTATATTTACACCATTCTCATATTCTTTTAACATTTCTAGAACTAGAACACTATTTGTAAATAATTTTGTTGGTTGTCTTGCAAATGCAATTATCGCAAGTATCTGTGAAAGTAGTCATGCGTATCGTAAGGAAAGACAGTAGTTGGATGTTATTGAATTGAAAAGCGCGCTTATGATATATTTTCAGTGGATGATTAATATTCTATTCTTGTTGATGATCGCTGCGTCACGCTCTTATCAATGATTATTGGCCCCGTTGCTTCAGGTATGCAACGCATTGTTGAATGATGCTGATGAAGAGAGAGAGATGCTTACTCTTCGGGCATGCCTCCGCCACCGCCTGCGATGCTCTTCCGATTGGGAACCAGGCCGACGGCGAGGAGGACAGCGATGGCGCTGTCCTTGAGCTTGCTGACGTCCTGCTGCTCCCGTGGGCGTCCGCTGCCGGCGGGCAGATGCAGATCGGGCAGCGCCCCCTTCCTGAGGCGACATCTCGTCGGCAATCCGAGCACCTCGTTCTGGACGTCGCGTTCGTAGCACTCGGAGGTGAAGTGTCTGGAGCAGATGCGGGCCGTCGCGCAATTCTGCACGTGTCTTCCGCAGGCGCGGATCCAGTGCGCGCGCGTCCTCTCATCACCGGGAAACCGATGGTACCTGATGGAGCCTCCTTTCGTCTTCCGGTGCGTGTTGCTACACCCGGCCACCGCACATTGCGGCATCTTCAACTATAACACCCTTTACTATTTTCGAACTGAACGGATACCAACCAACGCGGTACTTGGTACTTGCACCTTCACTGCGTACTTAGACTGCGGCTACTATCTATAATCTACACGACACGATTCACAGTTTATCAATCGCGCAATCACTGCATCACCTCCTCCGACGTGTTCAACTCTCGCAACCCGTGCACCAACTTCTGGGAGGGAGGTCACGGCTCTTAATTAGTAAGACGTCCGGCGTCGAAATCGAAAGTGCTCCTCCTCTTTCCTCTACCTCTTCTACTCTTATCTCTCTCTCTTTACTATTGTAATTGGTATTGCTGCTGCTTCGCTTTCTGCCCGGATGGAAGATGGATGGATGTATGGTTGTTACTGGTAGTAGTGGGTTGAGCGTTTCCACCATCCGCCGTTGGGTGTTGGTGCAGTTCTGCGGCGAGTTCCGCTGATGCTGCTGCTGCCACCGCCGCCGCCGTTGCTGCATTAACCGCACCCCACCAGTTTTGAGCACCGGTGACGTAACCGGCGTCTGCACACTCACACATAAAACCAACCCTACTTTTCCACCCCGATGTGGCGGGCGGGCGGTCGTTCGTTCTGGCGTCTATCGATTTTCTTCCTCCTTTGCAGCAGTGAACGCGTGCACACGTTTCCATCCGCCGAAAGAACTCTTCGAGAAACTCTACAGTAACAACAACGACGCCCACCGTCGCAGATGGCAACAACCTTGCATGCACACCGCTCTCAGAATGGACAAACACTTGACGCTTGCTTTTCTCCTCCTTTTTTTTTTGGCGCACGTTTTTCGATTTGCGAATTTTGCTGTGGTTGCGCGATTTATGGCGCGCACCCTCCGGCGTCATCGAACAGCCCCCAACATATTACACTAAGCCCTCTCGCTCTCGCCCTCAACAAAAACCCGACCACTTCCCTCGTCCACTACGAAATTCGCATCTAACTAATTCATGACAAACACCAAATATTGATACTCTCTCGATCAGATATTGTTCGACGATCTTCTGCATCTTGAATCATCTTTTTATCAACTACTACTACTTATTCTAAATATAATTTCATCAAAGTTACACACACACAAGAACAAACAAAAATTAATTGAAAACTTTCCCCTTTCAGGTTTTGGAAACATGATGTAGCTTCATGTTTGATATAATTACTTCAAAATTGGGACTTTTTGATGTAAGAGCAATTTGAATACAGTTTTCGGCGTT